AGCGATGAAATATACAGAATTTCTATCATTCATTTAGTTTTTCGTGCGTTTTCTCTCTCACTCATTAACTTGCTCACTCATTGCATTCATGCTCCTCCTTTGGTAAGCGTAGCTTTTGCTTTCTGTCGGGTGTTGGTTTTTCATCGATGTTAAAGCATTTTTTTATTCTGGTTAGTATGTATAGAAACGTAGAATGTACGTTACAAAATGCGATGAAGAATTTGGTTTTTCTTTTTTTCTTTTAGCTGTGCAAGAACTAAGCAAAATGCTAGAGAAAAGTGCACTCATTTTGTGTATGTGCAATGTGCATGCATTTATGTGTTTGTGTGTGCATAGTTCGATTCCTTTGATCTTAATTCAATTCATGTATGCCGAAAACAACACAGCCAACAAAGTTTTATTAACCCTAATGACAGGCATAAAGGAGATGATGGCAAACGAGTGTAAGTTGAGCTCAACAAAAGTCATTTAAATGATTTTTTTTTCCTTCTTCTTCTTCTTCTTCGCTCTGTTTTATGGTAATTCATAAATTTTATTACATGGCTTGTGAAATGTATGCAACACACTTCCTGATTGAAATGTATGAAAGCATCCCATTTTCTTCATATGCGCGTACGGATACACGGCACTTGTGCTCCGTTACATTGTTGAGGAATTTTTACCGTTTTATTGGGGTATGTGTGCACAGCACGCTTGAATGGCATCGAGGATATTTTCACGATTGAGGTACTTTCTCTGGCTGTTCCATCGTAAATTATATTAGTGAAATGATGCAATCAAACCAATTACTTTGAGTTAATTCGAGTTAAGGAAGCCAATCAAGAGAATGGCAGAGGAATAACAAAAGGAATCTCAATTATGTTGTAGATTACGGTCAAACCGGAAAACATGACGACAACGACGACGATGGCGTTGTACATAACCACATGCCAGTGTACACAACTCCATCGAACCGAGAGTAGAACGAAAAAATGAGTGAAAAATCGTTGACTTTTGGTTTCATTTTTTCGAGTGCGTTGCAACCAAAAAGGTAACTAATATAAATGCAGTGGTTCTGAAACAAAGTACAAATTTTCCATTCGAATTGAACGATCGAATAGGAAATGTGGATATATCTGTGTATGTTGGTCTTACGACGAGCGTAAGCGATTTTCATGTGAAAATGGATTTTCTCTCTCTTTTTTTTCTACGAAAATGCGAACATAGTACTAACTGTGTGCATGAATTCAAATTCAGCATTCTTCAGCTGTATGTACAGACGTGCACATACTCTTCGTCTTTTGGTTTTGCTCGTTCGCCCTCTTTAGCTCAGTGTTACATTGAAGGGGCGAAACAATGATGTGTACGCTTTTACTTGTGGGCTTTTGCACAAAACGTTGACAATTTATTACTTTGCAAATGACTATTAAAGCCAGTTTTCATAGCCGAAAGAGTCGAGGCACTCTCGCCTCCACTGAGACAAGCGCCAAAAGAGCAGACGTTGCATACGAGAATGGAATTTATAATTTGCAATTATATACCAAGAACATTTACATATAAATATTTCTTTTAATTTTTCTTTTTTCGTTCATTCTGGTCTTGTGCTTCTTCTTGATTCGGTGGAGTTTTTTTTTGTGGCATTGCCTTATCATTTTTGTGCGACTAAATGTGTATGTATATCAAACGGAGAGCAAAACCAGCAGCAATTGCAAAGTAAGAATCAGCTCTCTTTATTAAATTTTTCGAATTTCCAATTGTACCATATGCAATTCGGTGTAAAAACCAACTGACAGAGAGATATTTGTAGGTTCAAACGTTGGTATATTACAGATGAAGACCACAGACAAACGTTTTGCCAAACGCACAAATTGTATTCTCACTTTTTGCCAATGCCAACAATCGAATGAAACATGAGCTTTCTGCAATGCATGCTCACGATACATGCACACTGACGTGCCAACGCAATCACATTAATAGCCCTTCGTGATCGGAATAGTATGCGGGCCCGTGTGTATGTGTGCAACTTTCATTTCTTCGATGCAAATATTTAATTTAATAACATTTATAATTTGGAGCATTGTCTTTGGCTTTTCAGCGGTGAAGGATTACATTCATCTTATCCACAGGGCCATTATTACAAGCGTGTACTTCAAGGGTATAACTCATCTTGCATACCGCCTAGTACGTTAGTATCCATTGCTGCCTTTAGTGTTTGGTGCATAAAATTTCGTATGCAAGTGTGTGCCAAGATTTTGTCTTACTATTCGAACAGGAAAGTGTACTTTGTTCACCGTTCCCATCCTCTATTTTACGCCAAGAACCAAACAAGATAAAGAGATGGAGGGAAAAAGACAGTGATAGTTGTGTGCTGCGGCAGAGAGACAGGGAACGTGTGTGTGTGTGAGTCTTGTACACGACCACCTTGATAGTAATTTATCAGGCAATATAAAATTGAAAAGTATCGCGCTTCCTCTGAATAATATATAAAACACCGAGGGAGAGAGAGAGAGAGAGTGAGAGAGAAACACCGCACACATCGTGTTCTTGTATGATTTATGTTCAAACGCTTACATAGAATAATATTTAATTTTTCTCTTTCTCTCTTTCGTTGCGTCGTAAATGTGAAAGATGCTGGAATCTCTGTCTTGATCTTATTCACTGTCGCCAGCTACTTGTATTCTTCATGCGAAAATGGGAACAAGTACTCTTAACGTTTGTTGTTGTTGTTATTGTTTCGTTTGTTTTTTTTTCCTTCTGTCGGATGAGAGTAAGAATGGGTGTTTGCAGCTCATCTTGGAAAAATATTAAGCATTTTTGGGTGGAATGACGGAGAAAAGTTTATCTGTGTTGGAAAACTTTGAAATCAACTTTTAATATGAAAATAAACTGCATTTTTCACAGCTCGAGAAAAAGAAAAAGCGTCAAGCTTTTGCTTGAACCAAAGATTTTGAATTGGTTCAATTTAGCAAAGTGACGACAGGAGCTCCGTTCATCAAAATATTTGCTTTTTTGTTCCAGTGAAATTAGACTCTCGGTTTTGTTTGTTTGCTTCCGTTTTTTTTCTTTCTTCTGCCGAATCAAACTGTAATTTTTCCAGCATATGAAACTTAAAATAAAATCTGATGCGCTAGAAACTTTACACGGTACACATAAAACACAAAGATGAAATAATATTAAAATTGACAAGGACACTGAAATGGGTTAAGTGTCGAATGTGTATATGTATTTATATATCTATTTTCTTCATTTGTTCAGAGAGTGCAGGTACTCTCGAGAAGAAAAGCGAGCGAGCGAATGAATTAAGGTGCGCCGAAGGGAGGGTTGAGAATGAGAGTTGTTAAAGCTGTTTCAATTTATTTACAGAAATTTGTTGTGTATGTGGATAAGAGTATGCAGTGTCGAGTGAGAGAGAGGGACGAAGCAATGGATAGAGATAGAGAAAAGAGAACATACACAGCGCCCATGTTTTTCCATGTAAACAAATGCGGAAATTCATTTGGTGAATGTTCAGAATGAATGAAAAGGAACAGACAGAAAACATGCGAAAAACCATGAATTCGTAACATTATTTAATAGAGTTTTTGTGTTGCACACGCTAAACATTTCGGCATCGAATGCGTATACAAGTTTATTTCTTTGCATACCCCCTCGCTCTCGCTGACTGCCGACACCACACTGCCTTTGTCGTTGATCTGAACGCATGCATATATAAACCCAGTGGATGATCACGTTGCGCTATTTCGAACACAGTAATATTTGCTGGATGCATTTTTGTACTTCTTTTTGTTTCCCTTGATGTTGTTGCAGTTTGTTTTTGTCTGTGTGTATATTTTTTGCTGTTGTTTGAATTTTTTGCATCTTGCTATTTGTTTAGCATTTAAGGAATGTATGAACATTGCCGCAGTGGTAATGCCACTTCAAGCGATGCTTTAAAAAAAACAAAAAATACACAAACACACACACATACAGTATGAACCGTTTGGGCTTTGACAAAAGTAATGAATGATTTTTGGGTCGAGGTGCAGCACAAAAAGAAATGCAACGCAGAAATATGCCAAGCTACCGAAACTAGCGGCAGAGAAAAGGAGCGAATGAGTGAAATATTCTTCAAAGTGAAAATAGTTTGGCGTCGAACGATGTTGCAATGGAAAAAAAAACACCGGAACACCGGTAAATGCGAAACATAAGTGCTTGAGTTGCACACCAACTGAACGCGTTGCTTAAATGCAAATATGGCTGAAAACTTCATCATTCCATGTAATTTTTTTCCCTTCTTCCTACTTTCGTTTTGTTCTTCTGCTGCTGCTGCTGCTATGTGTATATATGTGTGTGTCTTGTTTCATATTTCATTTATCTGGAATTTTCGCATTTTCTGCATTCGAGTTGTGTGTTGCCATATCGCGAGAAACAACTTGTGCACAATTTGATCCAAGCGTGAGCAATGGGGATGAGATGAAAACATACCCCAAAGTATTTCGTACATACAATCAAAGTGAAATTCTACTAAGAGCGTTTTTTTTCTCTCTCTTCTGTACTGCTGATGCCGTTGCTGCTGGTGCTGCTGGTGTTCGCCGACAAACGTTGACGTTGGTGTGTATTGTACGCGCAATGAACGTAACAAGCGAATGCAAGCAAACTTCAATACGCTAAAACTTTGCATCACCCGAAAACCGGTTTGCAATGGGTTCCAGAGTCAGAGCGACGGAGTAGAGCCACATGGTCCAATGGCTTCCCCAAATGCAAAACACCATGCAAAAAAAAAGCCCGAACCAAGACAAAACGACGAAACATTCTCTTCGTGTTTTTTTCTCGGTGTTTCTTCTGTCGTTTCCCATGTTCTCGTTGTTGTTTAAACGAACTGAAAAGCTAAATGCAAATTTGTCATAGTGCGCCAATTTAGTGTCGAGTTGCATACAATCGAGTTTGGCGCGCGTACCAAAACAGCCCAAAAAGTTGATAATTATGTAATTGAATTATGAATGAAATAAAACTGTCGACAGAGAGCGACAGAGTGTACTTACATATCACAGTTAATTTAGCATTGGCGCGAATGGCTGAATTAAATTTGGCTGGTCCAACTTGACACTGATATTCGGCATCATCTTCCAGTGACGCATTTGATATACGCAAATTGTATACGCCCTGCGAACGGTCACCCAGCACAGAGTATCTCGGAAAGCCGGGTATTACAGCCGAAAAGCCTGCAAAAACAACCGAAATAAAATAGAATTTAAAATCATTAGTTAATCGAATCAATGCTACAATTTTATGTTGATGACCATGTCATGTTGGTTGCCATTTTAAGCGTTTGCTACTACGTACATTTGCGAACAAATCCAGGCCAAACGTTCTATTTTTTTTTTCTTCATTTCTCGTTAAAATTGCAACACATCATTCCATCATTTTTAAATTGTTTGCCAGATAAATAAACAGCGAACTCCCAAAGCTAAATCCACTTTATCTGATGTCAAAAACATGGCATAATTAAAATCCGTAGAAAAATACCGAAAAATAAATCGAATAAATCTCTTTTGAAGTCATATCCATCTTAAACACATTCCCGAGAATGGCAGAAATCATGAAAAGATTATCAATGATTGCAAAAAAAAAACTGTTTTCCAGAAGATCATGTGGTAAATAGCAGTGTGAAGGTTGCAGGGGATCTGCAAATATTCGCGAAAAAAAATCCCTTTTTCACAGTGCTAAGTGTATTTGTTTTTGAATTGATAACATCGTAATTTCGGTTGCCATGCGAATTGAATGTTCCACGTTGCTTTTCACAATTTCCGTTTTGCATTACTGTAATTACCCCATAGATCGTGCACTTTTTCATACCGAAAAATCGCTTATTCCTTCTCAGTTTGAAATAAATTGATTTTATTAGTGCGTAGTCGTGTCAAATAAGTTGCAAACACTTGCACAATGCACACACAACAGTGATATAAGTTTCAGTTTATTTGAATTTGAAAGTAATCTGTACTTCACCTAATACATGAAGGGAAAAAAAACAGCAAGCATTTAATTTCACGAAGACGAAACTAATTTCGAGTTTGAGAGCAAAATCTGAATTTTTAGAATGATTTAATTGGTTGCGTATGAGGAGAAACCAATAATCATATCTGCGTTGATGCGAAGGCTAAAATACCTCTTGACTTAATAAACAAAAATAAAGTACAGTTCTTAAGTTCATATGATATGTTGGATACCGAACGAAATATATTATTTTGCTGGAAGTAAAATGAAAATGGTGCTTGAATGATATTCGGAGCACAATTCCACATTGAAAAAGCACTCAAGAGCAAATGAGAGAATGAGATGTAGGGGGGAGCAGCACATTCGAGAAATTCACGGTTGCAGCAATTCCATTTGCAAAAGTGAAAAGTCTAAGACCAGCAACAATACAATCGAAACTATCATATTCGAAGGAAAACGCAGAAAAACAGTCGAACAAAAGAGGAAGAAATAAACGCGAGAGAGAGAGAGAGAGAGAGAGAGAGAGAGGAAGAGAGAAAGAAAAATTTGTGCTGAGTTCGACGAAATGAAAATTGGTGCAATTCAATACACGCATACACACTAACACACGTATATATAAATTTGCAATGGCCAAACTTCAACAATAGCGTACCCTATGTCTAACATACACATACACATACACACAAAACACATATACAGACAAGCAATTCGATGACATGAATTCATATGCCGCTAATGTTTCCACATAGAAGCATTCTGACATCATAAAAACCATTTAAAAAGAGCCAAAAGTTCTTCAGGATCTGGCAAAAACATATAATAAAATTATATAGACACTGAAGGAGCGAGAGAAAGCATTGGGATGCGTGTGCGCTTGTTCGCAATGAACATTCAATATCTCCATCAACCGAACCGACCGACCGACCGACCGACCGAGCAAATATTCGGTCAAATCGAAAATGCGACAATTTCAGTCGCAACGATTGAATATAGTTTGGTCGGGAGGCGAAAGAACGAACGACAGCGATGGTGAGAGAGAGAGAGAGAGTGAGCTCATAAAGCCAAAATGGAACGAAGACAAAGAATAATATTATTTACTTCGATTTTGTGACTACACAATTCACATTTCATGCGTTTCGATATATTTCAAGTTAAGAAATTCACATTAAATTCGAATTTCCTCTGCTGTTATTGTGATAGAGAGAAAGAGAAGTGGTCGGTCGATAAGAGACAACTTGAAATTTCCATTTTGACATACGTATGGTGCACGTATTGAATGCCATAGTGTTTCATGCGGTTTCTTTCGAAAACAATCAAGCAAAATGTTAGAGAACCTTTGAGACAATTCACAACATTATCTCCGTCCTCAATACAATTGAGATAATGACATTTTGTTTGTTTAATTATGTTCGGAAATTCCGAAAATCGGAAATTTTGTGGTCAAATTGCTAGTACTGATGAAATTTTCGATTGTCTTATCTCCTCATTGCCGCCCGTACCGAGTGAAATGCAGATGATGGTTTTCTCTACTGCATACACATCCACACACACACACACTGGGCGTTAGGAGTGGACATTTTCAAAAGGCACATTGTTTACTCCACATGAATTCAATTGAATCCAACTCAAGTATGCATTTCGAATCGTTGCCAGCTATTTACATGATATTCTCTTCTCTACCACTCTTTTGATCTCGGAAGTTTTTTTTTTATCTGTGTCAAGTAAATCCGAATACAATGTGGCTTTGGGTCTTATGGAAAACCATGAGTCCGATCGACTTTAATGCATGACCAAAATTCCAAAGTAAATCAATTGAAAATATTCTCTCGAAAATGATATCCCGAGTAGTATTAAAGAGAGAACACTTACTCCCTCGCTCCCCTTCTCTATCTCTTCCTCTTTTTCTATCCCTCTTTTCTACATTTGAGTTTTACTCAAACGTATTGTTTAATTAATAAGTTCATGTATTCGCATACGGATCGAGCATGCGGAAACAATAGAATTTTCCGGTTTTTCGTGATTCGAAACTGAAAATACTCAAATTTTCAGTTTGCTGAATGTGTCGGCAAACAATATTCGAGAGCTGCTCATTTTATCTCACCCAATGCTGAATCTCCGGTCGAAATCACTTTCGTAACGCAGTTTGCACATATATGAGAGATTTTATCTTTATGATGTTGCTACCGGTGGTCGAATTCTAAAACAGCTTCCACATTTTTTTGACAATGTGATATCACATCGACCATGTGATATCACAATTTTTCATGTGGAAAGTGGAAACTAAACAATAACTTTCATTGTTTTCCTCAAAAATTTGTGAGAGGCGAAAAAAACCGATTTGTAAATCCACATTGTGCTATCACATTGTGATTCACTTTTCTTGTAACAACTCATGAATACGTATATTACTCACGCTGAATTGAATCGATACAACTCAGCTAAATTTAATATCCGCCATTCAGCAACGATCTCTTTTGACAGAAATATTCCGTCAAATTTTTTTACAGTCCAAAATATTTGAGCATTACTACACACGAGAAATGGCTTGGATAATTCCATTGGAATATTCGCAACAAAGAAATCGTATGCGTATTATTAGGAAATACCTACGAGATGTCATTCGAACTTTCCGACAATTTGTAGGTAAGTGAAAATTTTTACACGATTGATTTTAGTATTCGTCTTTTTTTAAATTTCGATGAATGTGATGAACGAATGAATTTTGTTTGGAAAATCGTAGGTTTTGTCGGTTATACTGTATACCGAAATTGCTTGCGCACCAATTAATTGAGGAAATTCGTCCACTTGCGCAAAATATTGGTTTGGATTGCTCCACATTCAAGTCCTATCCGTATTAAACTTCTATGCAACGGGCGAGTATCAAATGTGAGTTCGAATTAAAATCAAGTGACATTGATCAAGACTAATATTATGATTAAACATTTACAATTTCAATTGGTTTGTGTTTCTTTTAGGTATGTCCACAATATTTCTTTCAAATCTTTTCCATTGGTTGAAAACATAAAGTCAACCATTATTTCCTTTGGCGCATTGTTTATTCGCGACATCGCTGGCGCATTGTTTATTCGCGACATCGCTGGCGCACAAAACCAAGCGACAAGTGAATGTTTGACAGCTCTTGTTTTTGAACGTTCGCATACAAATTCGATCGCGCTATTTTTTTTTTCGATGAATGCGATGTAAATGTTCATGCAACATCGAATGCGTTTGACGTTTCTTTATTTCGAAATCGAAAATAGGAAATGCGCGTACTATTCAAATCTAAAACAAAATGTTATGCAACAATTTTTAAAGAAGTTTGTTACGTACAAATAAGAAGTAAGATGTGTTTCCGTCAACTAAAATAGCAAGTGGAAACTTTTCACACAAAATTCATTCATTTTTGATGGAATCCGTTTTTCACAAATTTGGAACGTTGTCACATTTTTTCGAGAACAATGAAAATGATTCAGAAATTTATCACATTACACATGAACAATTTGTGAGAACTAGTTTAGAATTCGACCACGGATTGACAGTTGTTTGTGGACGAAATTTATGAATACGTATAGAAGGGAAAATATGACGGAAATGCTGCACACATCGCATTACAATAATTCCCCATATGAATTCAATATAGTTTTAACCAAATTACTGCTAACTTTTTTTTTCTGCGGTAGAACGATGAAAAAGCACATGATTGCATAAAACAGGCGCTATTTCTATCTCCTTCACTGATGGTGATCGTGCACAACAGAGCGACAATGGCAATTGAAGCAGTAATTCACGAGCTAAATAGAAAAGTTGACGACGACGTGAACATAAAAAAAAACCGTCATTGAAAATAGAAAGGCGAAAAAAGTATCACAACAATCGACGAATCGACCGACTTTTAGTTGTTGGACGGTACAACAGTCTTTACAATATTCGACGACGAAGAATAAAATAATAAATAAAAGTGCCGAAGCCATCGTTCCGAATCTATTCATGTCATTGTTCAACCGCTGTTACTTTCAATATACAAAACGATGTTGCCATCGTTGGCCAACAAACATAAGTTTTCGAATGGCTCAGCATCTCAGCATTTCGTATGCAGCGGATATATCCCAGCATATCGACGACGCAAGTCACTGTATAAGTGGCGTACGTTGATGTGCACAGCTACATTTGAACTCTGCGCTCTCTGTTTGTGTGTAAAACTCTCTGTTTGTGTGAAGTCGATGTAGCT